TCCGGTGGGGAACTTGTCTCTTGGCCCCATATATGGTACTTAGGAGATTCCCATTACACAGCTCAGGATCAAAGAACAATTTGATTAGTAATTTGAGCAGTTTATATTCATATATCTCTATACTTGCACTCCCCTAGAATAAACCTAAAATTTCACTAAGATTTTCATGTGAAAAATTGATTTCAGGGTATTAAGGCCTGCAAACATCTTCCAGGCAGATGGAAAGATAAGGGTTGTCTTTAGGAATAAATGCAAAATGTGTATATCAGAGTATTCTATGTACATTAATTATGGAATAATTATTTATTCATAAATTAAAATGATAATATTTCATCATTTTCTATAAATCAGAAGAGCTCATTGCTATCATTTCTTTTTTAATACCCAGCAGTTCTTAGTGATGAAAAATGTGGTCATCCTAATAGCTAAAGTTCAAATTTAAATTATTACTGGCTTACTTACTATAAAGTCTTGGGGAAATTTAAAAAAAATTTTCTTGTGTCCCTATCTGTGATATGCAGGTAATAATAGCAATAGCACATGATTCTTACATTAAATGAAGGGAAAATACATGTGTATATGTAAAAAATTCGTAACTACCCCAAACCATAAAAAAACTTTACCTATTGGTATTTTCATTTCTTGAACTGTTTAGTTAAATCCAGAAGCTACATCAACCTCCACCATATTGTTTAATTACCAAGAATAAAAACTAGTGAATATTTATAAAAATAGACATTAATAATATGTAGCAATGAAACTGCTCTCTCAATTATTGGAGATCAAGTCAACTTTAAAGAATGCATTGAAAGTAAAACATTAGTTATGGAAATATAACAGAAGCAGAGAAGTGGGGGATTGCATATAGGGAACATATTAATGGACAGAAATTTTTGTTTATAATACTGTATGGAGAAGCTGTGTGAGTCTACTGGACAGTGTAAAGAGTAGCAATAGGTCCATAGAGAAATAAACATAAATAAGAGAAACTGATTTAAGTGAAAATGGAAATGCTTTGGATGTAATCCCAGCTGTTTATCTTTGCCTTCACTATCACTGCTTTGGGTGATGAGTCTTTAAAGATGTTATTGCGATGTATGTCTTGTAGTGTTTTACCTATATTTTCTTCTATATATTTTATGGTTTCAGGTCTTATGTCCAGTTCTTTTATCCATTTTGAGTTGATTTTTGTGCACAGTGAGAGGTAGTGGTCTAGTTTCATGTTTTTGGATGTGGTGGTCCAGTTTTCCCAGCACCATTTATTGAACAAACTGCCCGTGTTCCCTTGCATATTCTTTGCCCCTTTGTCAAAGATTAGCTGTCCACAGAAGTGTGGCTTTATTTCTGGACTCTCTATTTGGTTCCATTGGTCTGTGTGTGTTTTTTTGGTCCAATACCAAGCTGTTTTAATTATTATGGCTTTGTAGTATAGTTTGAAGTTTGGAAGTGTGATACCTCCTTCTTCTTTTATTTTCATCTGTAGGGCTTTGGCTATTTATGTTTTTTTGTTGTTCCATATGAATTTCATCAGTATTTGCTCTATTTCTTTGAAGAATGTCATTGAGATTTTTATTTGAATAGAGTTGAATCTGTATATTCCTTTTGGTAGGATGATCATTTTAATAATGTTAATTCTTCCAATCCATGAGCAGGGGATGTCTTTTCATTCCTTTGTGTCTTTTTCTTTTTTTTTTTTTTTTTTTTAAAGATTTATTTATTTATTTATACAAGCACTGGGTACAGTTAGAAGCGTGGGAGAGTGAGAGAATTAACCAGAGTCAGAGTGGGGAGCAGAACAGACAGACTGACGAAATACACTGCTGAGGGGAGCAGCGGGTGGCAGGAGAGGTCTGCGTGCCATGTGGGACCCTCACCTGGTGGTCAGGGATTGAACTGGCGCTGCAGAGGCTACAGGCAGCTTCGCAACCCAGTGCTCAATCGCTGTGCTACCAGGGTGGTCCCTTTTTCTATTTCTTTTAACAGTGTATTTTTTTTTTTTAAAGATTTATTTATACAAGAGGTGGAGTACAGGCCAGAGGCACAGGAGGGTGAGAGGATTCACCAGAGACAGAGAGTGGGGAGCAGAACAGGCAGACGGACCAAAAGCACTGCTGAGGGGAGCAGTGGGCGAGACAGAAGAAGTCTGCCTAACCATGTGGGTTGCTCCCTGGCCGGCCAGGGATCAAACCTGAGCTGCAGAGGCTTCGGACAGCTTCACAGCACTGTGCTCAATCCGCTGTGCCACTGGGAAGACCCATCTCTTAACAGTGTTTTATAATTTTCTTTGTATAGGTCCTTCACCTCTTTTGTTAGGTTTATTCCCAAGTATTTGATTTTTTTGTTTCAATTATAAAAAGGATGGTTTTCTTGATTGCTTCTTCTTCAGATTGATTGTGTATAGGAAGGCTGCTAATTTTTGTGTGTTGATTTTGTATCCTGCTACTTTACTAAACTGGTTGATTATTTTGAGTAGTTTTTCTGTGGAGCTTGTAGGGTTCTCTATGTATATTATCATATAGTCTGCAAATAGTGATAGTTTTACTTCTTCTTTCCCTATTTGTATTCCTTGTATGTCTTTCTCTTGTCTTGTTGCTCTGGCTAGGACCTCCAGTATTTTATTGCAGTCAGTGGTGAGAGAGGACATTCTCTCTTGTTCCTGATCTGAAAGGAAAGGCCTTCAGCTTTTCACCATTGAGAATAATATTGGCTGTGGGTTTGTCATAGATGTTAAGGTATGTTCCTTCTATCCCGCGAATTTCAAGGGCCTTCATCATAAATGGATGTTGGACTTTGTTGAATGCTTTCTCAGCATCTATTGATATGATCATTTGGTTTTTATTTTTCCTTTTGTTGATGTGTTGGATTACACTTACTGATTTTCGTATGTTGAACCATCCCTGTGCCCCTGGGATGAATTCCACTCGATCATGGTGTAGTTATCCCTTTGATGCATTGTGGGATTCTGTTGCAAGGATTTTGTTGAGGATTTTTGCATCAGTTTTCATTAGGGAGATTGGCCTGTAATTTTCTTTTTTGTGCTGTCTCGTTTGGTTTTGGTATTAATGTAATGTTGGCTTCATAGAACATATTTGGTAGTATTCCTTCTTTTTCAATTTTTTCAAAGAGTTTATGTAGAATAGGCACTAATTCACCGCTGAATGTTTGGTAGAATTCATTTGTGAAGCGGTCTGGGCCTGGGCTTTTATTTTGGGGGAGTGCTTTGATTACTGCCTCAATTTCGCTGCTAGTTTGGTTGTTTAGGCGCTCTGTTTCTTCTTTATCCAGCTTTTGGGTGATCATATTGTTCTAGGAATTTGTCCATCTCTTCCAGATTGTTGCATTTGTTTGCATATAAGTGTTCATAGTCATCTATGATTATTCTTTTGACTTGTGCTGAGTCTGTTGTGATTTCTCCTCTTTCATTTATAATCCTATTTATATGTGTTGTCTCCCATTTTTTCTTTGTGAGCCTAGCTAGAGGTTTTTCTTTTTCTTTAAGATTTATTTATTTATACAAGAACTGGGGTACAGGCCAGATGCGCAGGAGGGTGAGAGGAGTCACCAGAGACAGCCGGTAACAGAACAGGCAGACTAACGAAATACACTGCCGAGGGGAGCAGCTGGCAAGACAGGAGAGGTCTGCAGCGCTATGTGGGACCCTCAGAGGCCCGCAAGGCTCCAACCAGCGCTGCAGAGGCTGCGGACAGCTTCACAGCTTAGCGCCCAACCGCCTGCACCACAAGGGGAGGCCCTGGCTAGAGATTTTTCTATTTTGTTTATTTTTTCGAAGAATCAATTTTTGGGTTCATTGATCTTTTGGATTTTTTTTTTAATTTCTCTTTCATTTATATCTGCTTTGATTTTTATTATTTCCTTTCTTCTACTGGCTTAGGGTTTTTTTGTTGTTCTTTTTCTAGCTCTTTGAGATGTGCGATTAGGTTGTTTGAGTTCTTTCTTGTTTCTTGATGTGAGCCTGTATGACTCTGTATTTTCCTCTTATTACTGCTTTTGCTGCATCCATACATTCTGGAAAGTGATGATGTCCTCCTTGTCCTTCAACTCGCCTGCTGCTTTATAGGTACAAATGTTTGGAAGTAATCTAAATGAAAACCCTCGGGAATGGGTGAATAACCACTGTTTGTCCATGTGATGAAATGCAGCAGTTAGAGAGTAGACCACGAATGGGGTGGGGGGGCGCAGAGGAACGCTGGAGGGTCCTGAGGGCACAAAGGCAGAGAAATGGGGGTGCGCCCTCTGGCGGTGAGGCCTGAAGAGAGTGTGACGGCGGCGCCAGGGCAGGACGGGCAGGGACGGGGCGCAGCGCGAGGAGCCGGGGAGGAGGAGCGGGGAGGGGGCTGAACGGCAGGACGAGGGCAGAGGGGCCTATCGTGAGCGACAGGCAGAAAAGTGACCGCGGGTTGGGGGACAGGGGGGCGCGAGGGACGGAGAGCGGAGAAGCCGGAGCTGCAGCTGGGCACCAGGAGGCGCAAACGGGCATAGCGCGCGGTGGGGGCGCTGCGGCCAGGACCCCGTGGCGTAGGAGGAACCTGCGGCCACGGGCGGGGGAGCAATGGGGGGGGGCGGGGTGGTCTGCCCTGTACCCCCCCCCCCGCCCCGCCCCGCCCGCCCCGCCCCGCCCCGCCCGCGCCTCTCCTCCGTCGCTGAGCCCGCCTCGCCAGCCCCCACTTGGGGAGCCGGGCCGGGGCGCGCTGGGGGTGGGGAGCGGAGGCTGCGCTCTGAGCGCCGCCGCCTGCGGTGAGGGGAGCCGGCCCGTTGCCTGCGGGCCGCTGCCTGCGGGACGGCGCCAACTTGGACTAGCGGCTTTTCGTGTGGGCGTGTGGGCACTCTCGGGCGAGATGACGCCCACTTGTGCCTCAGACACTCTCTGTGTCCCCGGGTTGGTAAATCACCCCAGTGTTGTCCCCTGAGCCCGAGTGGTCTCTCACGCCTGCACTCAGGGGAGCCCCACAGACGTGACCTGTCCCCTCCTGGGCACTGACCTGGACCCTGCGGGGTCGCGCTGGTCCGCCCTGGCTCCCTCGCGGACGGTCTCCGGGTCCCCAGAGGCAGCCGCTCCCCGGACCTCCAGCTCGAGGACCCCGCAGGCCCGCCGGGCCTAGTCCCTCCCCCCAGCGCCCCGACGCCCTCAGGCGGGAGTCCAGGCTCGCGATTCTCGCCCCCAGACACTGCTAGTCTCTGGGTAGGGGAGTCTCACCGTAAACACAGACGTAAACACCCACGCGCAGCACCTTTATTACACGAAACACAGTGAACAACAGTCTCTCACCTCGTCAGACATCCGGTCGGTGTCATGTCCCTTTCCTAATGTATGGGGGGGGGGGGTTCCAGGTTCCCTGCCCCACCCAAGGGAGGGTGGAGCTGAGCAGGGAGAGAAGAAGCTGCAGAGGAGACTGAGAAGGAAGGAAGCAGGATGGAGCCAGAAGGAGACCTGGAGGAGGCGCATGGAATGGAGAGACATGTGAAGAAACTGCGCTTGCCTGTTTGTCGTGGACTGGGTGACACAGATGTGGGTGAGACCTGTGGGGAGGTGACAAAGGTGGTTTTCGTCTTGATTTTGATTTTGCTCTCCCCCCCCACAGACTTGTCTGGTTGTTTCTGATCCTTTTGTGGGTCCGCACTGGAAGGTGCTTTAGACTTGTGGCAGGCTTTGGAGCCTTGCTCTGGGCCAATCCCATTTGGATGGAGTTTTACCCACGAGGGGACGGGTAACTTTGGGTGCTTGATTTAGAAACTATTTTTTGCCTTTCCTGTATTGGTTTCTAATTGTATTAAAGTTCCTTTTCATTAAAGTCTCATATGTTTTGTGTTGATGTGGCAGATGGCAGAACCTATTTAGAGCAGGCAGATTTGGGGGGTCTGGGGTGTCCCTCTCCCTGCCCTGTAACAGATTTGGTGCCCAACGTGGGGCTCGAACCCATGACCCTGAGATTAAGAGTCTCATGCTTTACCGACTGACTCCCTGCCCTGTAACAATAAGAGAAGCGTGATTGGCCCCCTCAGAGCCAGGCCGGCGCTCACGGCCAACATATGGCAAAGGTGGGGCTTTCTGCACCCCACGCCCTAACCCCTGAGCAGGGGCTGCCAGGCAGTGGGGGCAGAGTAGAGTCACCAGACCCTAAAAACCCAGACCACAGATGGGCCGCTGTGTCCTTGTTGGTTTCTGGTTACATCCACGTCTCCTCTTGGCTGATACTATGGCGGGGCGTGGGGGGGGGACAGACAGCACACTGATTACAAACGGGAGGTTCCAGGCTCCCTGCTGCACCCACTGAAGGTGGAGCTGAGCAAGGAGGGGAAGCTGAAAGGAACTTGGGACACGTGTCTGCATGTTGGGGACCTTGCCCTGGATTCTTCAGCACGTGGTGAGGACTCCTAATCTGGGTCAACCCTTTCCTTCAGGTTTGACCTGTGACACCTTCTGGCGCCCATTTGGTAAACTCCTCTGGGTATGCACCAGGATCCTGGGAGGAGGAAAAGTAATTTCCCCTCTATCCTGCAGGATTCTTGATGGAGGCCTTCCTGTAATAAAGGGCCAATTAGTGGGAGAAAAATACATTTGGGTAAACATGGATTCCTCCTTGCAAACCTGGGGAAGACCCAGGAAAACTAAGTAACTGAGTAAAACTCAGTCCCCTCTTCAATAACATCTTCAACTACAGACAAAGGGCAGAGGAGGGGGGGGTCAGCTCTGAGGGGCACTGGGAAGCCCAGCAACAAGGCCGTGGGTGTTGCTGATGCAAGGAGCTGCTGACGCAAGGAGCCACCGCCTCCTCTGATATATTCGTGGAAATGAGTCTTACAAAAGGGCAACCTCCACCCTCCTCTCAGAGCCCCCTACCCCATCTGATTCCAGAAACGACCAGTAAATATAATCCTTCTGTCAAAGAGGCGCCTTGTAGAGCCATGAATTTCCTCCCTGACGGGCCACACTGGCTCCACACCACTTAACACACTTGCTATGTCAGCTCAGCCTCTTGGTAATTAGCAGATTGAAATTTAACCTATAAGCTACCCCTGATTTGTTGTCTTCCATGAGACTTACCTGGTGAAGAGGAGAGGCCATTTGCCCCTCACCTTCCTGTGCTGGGCCAGGCTGCTCCAGCCTTGCTGTGTGGCTCAGCCTGCTGCCTAGTGAGTCTATTTTCCTGAAACCCTAACTCACCTTCAAGCTTGATTTTTTTTTAAAGATTTAGTTTTATTTATTAATGCATACAGAATTGGGGTTAGGCCAGAGTTGCAGGGGGTGAGAGGACTCCCCAGAGACAGAGTGGGAAGCAAAAAAGGGGATCTGTTGAAATACACTGCTGAGGGGAACAGCAAGAAGACAGGAGAGGTTGGCTGCACCATGAAATCAGCTTCTGGGCCAGGGACAGATCTCAGGCCATCGCAATGGGCGGTTGCAGTGGCAGCGCTGAGACATAACCTCTAGGCCACCAAGGAGGCCTCAAGTTTGATTTTCCTTTCTTGTTACTTGATGCTGACATTTGATCTTTTTTTTTTTAATTTAAGGTTATTTTATTAGTGATGCCAGAGAGGAGAAAGTAAATTATTTTAATAAAAGAAAGACCAAGTACTTGTCACCTCTTTGTGTTGAAGAAAATCTCTAGCCCAGGATAGAGCCAGCCTACCCAGGGTGTCAGGTCAGTCGTGGTGTTCCTGATCTCATGAATCAGCGCTTCACTGGAAGGGCAGCTCTTCCAAGCAGCCAGTCCCCTGGCACCACGCAGCCCTGGCCTGTGCTTATTTCCCTGTTCCTTGATCTTCAGGATAATGTCGGATGTTGGGGATCCTGGCCAGTCATACTCTATTTCAGTACTGCCAATTCCATCTCTCTGTATTCCTTGTTTTCGGCTAAAATTTCTCAGGAAGTGTGTCCCACTCTCCTCACCTCCAACCCACCGATGGTTTTCTCTGAGTAGAGGACACCAAGCCCATTTCTAAATTGTTTTCATACACGGGTGGGCCACCTCCCAGATGCCGGGCGCCAGTGTTTATTAGCGTAAGAATTTGTCGGTCTCATCCAAATGGTTGAACTTATCTGCATATAGAAGTGCACAGTGATCTCGGATTGCGTTTGTCTCGTGACCCAGGATGTGGTCTTTTTCCTGACAATAGTTCCTGTCTGCTGTTTCTGCTGATTTCTTCTTTTTAATTTTTGATCCTGTTTATTTGTTCTCCCTTTTTTTCTTTGTGAGTCTTGCTGGAGGGTAGTACATTTTACTTATTTTTTCAAAGAACCAGCTTTTGGTTTCATGTGTCTGTTGGACTGTCTTTATTTCTATTTCAGTTAGTTCTGCTTTAGTTTTTGTTATTTCCTTTCTCCTGCTGGCTTTTGAGCTTTTTTGTTCTTTTTCTGGTTCTTCGAGATGGGAGATCAGCTTGTTTTTTTGTTTTTTGTTTTCTTGTTTCTTGATGTGGGCCGATTCATTCTATATTTTCCTCTTAATACCACTTTTGCTGTTTCCCAGACCTCCTCATTTTCAGTCATTCAAGGTCCTTTTTAATTTTTTCTTTTATGTCTTCATGAATGCAGTGGTCGCTCAGCTGCATGTTGTTCTGTTTCTACGTGGAGTGGGGGTTTCATGCTCACATCATAGTTGATTTCTAGTTTGATGCCTTTATGGTCAGAGAACATCTTGGTATGATTTCAGTCTTCATGTACTTGTTGATGTTTGTCTGGTGACTCAATGCATGACTGATCCTGGAGAATGATCCATGTGCACTTTGAAAACTGTTTATTCGGTTTTGGAGGTACTGTGTGTTACAGATGTCTGTCAGGCCCCTGTGTTCTAGATCTTTATTTAGGGTTATTGTGTTCTTGTTTAGCTTTTGTCTTGTTGATCTGTCCAAGGGTCTTTATCAGGTTTTCACCCGTTAATCACCTACAGGTTTTGATGTTTCAAGGCAGGAATGGTAACTATGGATTAAGTAATAGGAGCAGGGGAGGAAGTATCCTGGGCTACGGTCTTGCTTTAGAGGTACCGGGGTCCTGGTTTTATGGGGCTGATTATCAGGACAGGATAGCAGGAAGCATGTTTCAGCCATGCCCAGAGAGGCACCTGCTTCCTCACAGATGTCATGTTTCATTAGCATTCTGAGGTCTCCACCCAGGGTGGGTGGAGGGTGAGTTTTAGCAGACTAATGAGAAGTAAGTCACTTCCAGGTGAGTCTTCTGTCCTGTGTGTGTGACCTGATGATCAGCTGCTTCTGGAACCATCGCCTGAAACAGGAATCCTCTGCAGGGTGAAGGTCTGTTTCCCACTGGTGATTGGCTGGCTGGGCCTATTAGCTTTGGGACAGGTAGGTCAGGAAAACAAGTCTAGGTTCAAGGGGTCCTGAAACATACAGACACCTGTTACCACACAGGTGCCTCTTGCCTCTGATTTAGTGGCATGGATGCCTTTCCATTAAATGGGGATGCTCAGTTTGGATACATGACAGAAAAAAAAATAGACTTTCACCCTCCTCTCACACCATACACAAAGTTAATCCAAAATGGACCCTAGACCTAATCATGTGCAGGAGAGTCCTATCTACGATGTGTTACTTTGGCATCTCTATTCTTTTGAGCTGAGACTAGTCAAAACCCTAAGAAACCCCTGAGAAATTTTGGCCACTCCCTTAACCAGTTAGAAGATTAAAAATCAGGGTCATTATCCAGAAGTAGGACTTTGAGCAGAAGTAATCTTTCTATCAAAGGACTCCCTCTACGTGGCAGGGCAAGCATCTCATTACACAGCATGTGTTACTGCTGCCCCAGGTTGTGGGTTCCTGGGCTCCTCACTCAAGAATGTAATGAGGACTCTCTGCTTTTTTTTTTTTTTAAGGACTCTCTGCTTTTGAAGCTGAGATTTGCTGCTGAAGTGATGGAAGAACAGAAAGGCCCAGAGAGACCTCAGTGTGAGTGTCTCCCTGAGGACAATAGCCTCTTTGTTTTATAGGCCACAAGGAGCCTGACACAATGGGTGTTTTTTTTTTTTTTTAAAGATTTCTTTCTTTATGTATACTAGAGTGAGGCCAGAGGTGTGGGGGGTGGGGGGTGGGGGGTGGGCAGTGAGAGGATTCACCAGAGACAGTG